TCGGACGCTCAACCGACTGCGCCACCCAGGCGCCCCAAAATTTAAAAAAAAATAAAAATAGGGGCGCCTGAGTGGCTCAGTTAAGTGTCCAACTTCAGCTCAGGTCATGAGCTCACGGCTCGTGAGTTGCATCGGGTTCTGTGCTGACAGCTCAGAGCCTGGAGCCTGCTTCAGATTCTGTGTCTCCCTCCCTCTCTGCCCCTCCCCCACTCACACTCTGTCTCTCCCTCAAGAATAAACATTAAAAAAAATTTTTTTTAAATACAAATTAAAAAATGTTGAACCAGAAAACACTCATGGAAAAAATGTTTGTGATACTATTGAGAGGGGCAGATGTCAAATCCATGTTTATAATAAAAATATAATTCTTAAAAATATATGTATGTGAAAAGACTAGAAGAACATACATTAAAACATTGAGAATGGTTTTTGGTTTTGTGTTTGGGGAGCAGGAGTATAGTCTTCTGTTTTTCTTTTGAGTTTTCCAGTTTTCCTGCTTTAAACACATTTTGTAATTAAAGTAATAAGAGCAAGAATTTCCTCTAGAAGGATACTTTTAGGGTCCCAACTCCTGGACTGTGAGAAATAGATGCTCAGTATGTGAATAATATAAATGATGCCTGGTGTGCCCCCACTTAACCTAATTTATAGACTCCTTAACAGATGACATAACTCAAGAGTGATTATTTATCGTATGAGAAGATTCTTGGGTATCTATAAGACTTTACCATGCAGCTCTTACAATAGCAAACTTCCCTTGTGTTTGCAGTGATACATACAAATGCATCATCTTAGGAGCATGTGATTGCAAGACGACTTCTTCATAGGTCCTTAATATGTCTGTCTATTCCAGACAACTTACTTTCTGCATTAAATTTCAGTTTTAATATAATACGTATAATTTTGATACTCTTTTTCTGACCACTCTACTACACAAATTGTTGGAATCCAAGAAATGGACAGCACAGTGCTCCCACACCAATAAGGCACTTTATTACAGTACCCTTAATTACCAGCACTCATGTTACTTGAGAATACTAAAATGAAAACTCATTGATGAGGGGCAGGAATATCCTATATTACTTAAGTATCTGGAACCTTGCAATAACAATTCAGAGGCAGGATTAAGATTGTAACAAAAATTTCCAAATCAGGCTTCTAGCCTTTGAGGGTAGAACAGTTGCTGACTCCTTGTCACTGTCACTCCGCATTCCCTGGCACTTAGCCAGGCTCCCTAATTCTTTTCCACGGTGAAGACTCCAGGAAGTCAAAGTTTCAACGTTTTTAACCTTGTGTTTCCTGTTCTCTTTATATTAGTGCTGTGCTTAGTTCAAAAACTGCCTAGTTCAAAAAGCTGATTTTTTTACTTCTATTGTGAAAGAAGTAGAGAAGTGAACTATTGATACTCATATCACTTTTAGTTTACAGAACCTTCGGCCTGGAAGTTTAAGCTTTAATACAGAGTGAACATCATGGTTTCTTGGTCCCCAACTGTGTATTTATCATTGTGTCTATGAACAGGTTCCTGGTATCAATTTACCTGTCAACCAACTGACCTATTTCTTCGCTGCAGTTCTCATTAGTGGTGTTGTACATGAAATTGGACATGGGATAGCAGCTATTAGGTAATGATATTTTTCTTTCTACTAATGCAAAAAAAAAGCTTTTTACTTAGTAGGGTTTATTACTAAAATCTGCTTCATTTGATACTTTTTCTTTCTGTGAATATTGCCTAGTGCAAATCCACATTATTTCGAGGTAACTACTCTTTTATAAAGATTAATATATTGATGAATATAGTCAATTAACCATGTGCACACTGTAATCATTTGACAGTATGGTTATATCTTCATGGTGTTTCAAGATTTTAATCGAACCCTGAAACCTAATCTTTCTATTCATCATTAGGTCAGAATGATAACCACTGCACTTGGAGCCCACCAACCTGCCTTCTTATTACTTTGTTTGACTTATTGGCCAAAATACTTTCCTGCTTCCACTAATAGCCTCTGCTGGCTAGAGCAGGAACATTGAAAGCTCTGAATTTGTTAACAAATATCATAGCCTATCTAGAAACCTAAGTAAACGAAGACAAGAGAGGATGAGCCCTGGGTCTTTCTTCAAGTATCATGCCCTGTTCTTGTCTTGACTACTCAAATGTATATTGTAATTATGCCTGAGCATTTTAAAGGCTCCTAAACTTATAAATTTGTGATAGGGGAGCACAATTCCCCCTTCACTCCTACTGGTAATTACTGCCATGATGAACACACATACTGATGGGAATGTGTTTTATCCTCTGGGTATGTGGACCAGATAAAAGGTTTTATAGGAGAAGATGTAATCACTTCTTATTACTTTCCTGTTGCTTATGAACAAGACTCTGTTGACTGCTAATAAACTCTCAAATCTCGACAAAGCATATACTGCCACATGTAGTGGTTTAAGTGGGCAGCTACTTTTTCTTTTTTAATCTCTCATCTTTGCTTCCATACGTTTAGCATTGTAGCTTTTAGAGTTTTACATACAAAATCATTGTTATTAACAGTTTAATACTTCACAGTATGTTTGTGAAATAGTATGGGTAATCTTTTATAAAAACCAACTGTCAAGTAAAAGCGAATTTTACAGTCATCTTTTTTTTTTTTAATTTTTTTTTTCAACGTTTATTTATTTTTGGGACAGAGAGAGACAGAGCATGAACGGGGGAGGGGCAGAGAGAGAGGGAGACACAGAATCGGAAACAGGCTCCAGGCTCTGAGCCATCAGCCCAGAGCCTGACGCGGGGCTCGAACTCACGGAATGCGAGATCGTGACCTGGCTGAAGTTGGACGCTTAACCGACTGCGCCACCCAGGCGCCCCTTTTTTTTTTTTTAATTTTTTTTTTTTCAACGTTTATTTATTTTTGGGACAGACAGTCATCTTAAATATATAGTACTAAATGACAGCACAGTATATTTAGGGGATGGTTTTTTTGGAGTAGCTGTTTGGTCTTATGAGGCTGTTAAGTATAATTCCATTTTTAGAGACTGAATTGATAACAAATGGTTCTCTTAAGGACAATCTGAACATTATGGATATTTAGGTATACTTATTTTAACATCAATAGGAATACACTTAGATAAACCTCCACTTTTGTTTATATTAGCCAAGATAAATATATTTAGATACCTTACTTGAATTATATTTTCTGTTGTGTTCTTCTCTGAAAATAATTCAGAGTAAACAGTTGAAGTGTTTTTCATTTAGTTCCTCATGGAAATATTAACCATTTCTTTTTATATGTGACTAATTTCAAGTTATTTGTTCAGCATACTGGTTTCTAAAAGTTTTGAAGTTTTAAGTCTATTTCAGAATACCCTTATTTTACAAAATGCAATTTCGCAGATAACCAAACTGGTATGCTGTTGTAAAATTGTGAGATAAATATATATCATATATTTGGGTATATTTTCCTTGACTGTCTAGAGAGACTTGTTTTTTAACCAAGAATTTAAATTATAGTGGGAAGTTTTAAGATTAAATACATTATTAATTGGAAAAATGCAATACTAGTAGTAAATTCCTTTTTTTTATTTGATTTCTTAGGGAACAAGTTCGATTTAATGGCTTTGGGATTTTTCTCTTCATTATTTATCCTGGAGCATTTGTTGATCTGTTCACCACTCATTTGCAACTTATATCACCGGTCCAGCAGCTAAGGATATTCTGTGCAGGTAACAGACTTAAATTTCTTTATTCATCTGTGTGTTGTTATGGAAAGTATTCACATCACAAATGAAAACATCTCACTTTTTGGTTGATAAATTCAGCTTATAAGATTCTCAGTCAAAAGTAATAAAGCAAGGGGCACCTGGCTGGCTCAGTCTAAGGAGCATGTGACTCTTGAGCTCAGGGTCATGCATCCAAGCCCCACATTGCATGTAGAGATTACTTAAGTAAATATTAAAAGAAAAAAATAAAGCAAAATTATTTATACACTCCAGTTTCTTCAGTAAAAACAACAAATTATTTTAAAAAGGTTGAAAGTAAAATTAACAATATACCATGCAAATGTGAACAGAAAATATGACTACATTAAGTTAGTTAGACATAGGGGGTCACTTAATAATCATAAGGAGTGTAATCCACAATGAAAATGTAATCATTGTGAATCTTACTGCATCAACTAACAAACTATCAAAACGAAAATGGAAAAGTGCAAGAAAAAAAAACAACAAATTTAATAAAGGAAGTTAATCTCATCTCTCAACACATGGCAGTAAGATGAGAAGTCAGATCATCAAAACTAATTAGTAAATTAAAAATCAATAGATATGTCAAACCCTGTACCATGACAGTTTCTTTTCAAGTGACCATGAAACATAAAAATTGACCAATTTAATTCAAAACATAATTGTTTTATACAATTATACTACATACATACATACATTTATACTACATAATTGTAGTATATTTAAAAGTGATAATGAAATAATGTGTAAAGTTTTGCTAAAAGGAAAAGTCACTCCCTTATGTAGTTACTATGAAATAAATGAAAATAAATGTTAAACATTCAACTGAAGAAGTGAGAAAAGAACTATAAAATAGTTAAGAGATGATGTCATTAATAAAGATGTAGGTAGAAAATAATAAATAATAATAATAAAAAAATTTAAATATAAGAGGTTTGGGGCGCCTGGATGGTTAAGTGTCTGACTTCGGCTCCGTCATGATCTCCCGGTTCGTGGGTTCGAGCCCCGCGTCGGGCTGACTCTGTGCTGACAGCTCGGAGCCTGGAGCCTGCTTTGGATTCTGTGTCTCCCCCTCTCTCTGTCCCTCCCCTGCTCACGCTATCTCTCTCTCTGCCTCTCAAAAATGAATAAACATTAAGAAAATTAAAAAATAAAAATATAAGAGGTTTTTTGAAGAAAAAAAGATTATACTGGGAGAAAGCATCAATAGAATTTATAGTCAGATTGGGGAATGACAACTGATACAGAGAAAATTAAAACAACTATTTTAAAAAGTGTTCTTTATTCATCTCTGCAAAAAACTTTCAAAACCTTGGGTGATTATTAAATATAAATGGTGTAAACTCCAGAGAACAAAGAAAAAAAATCTCAATAGCCTAATTACAATGGGAGAAAATAAGAAAGTTGATGAAGAATGCCCCCAAAAGTTTCATAGGGGTAATTCTTTCCAATCTTAAAGGAAAAGGTTTTTTTTTTTTTAATTCCAATTTAGTATAAACTTTTCAGATCACATGGAGAAGGAAACTTAAAAAAAATTTTTTAAGCTAATAGAGCACTGATACAACATCTTGGAAAGTACCAGAAACTCTACCTATGGTGTATCTAAACAATACAAGGATGGTTCAACATTAGGAAATCTATTTTAAGGTGGTAAACATTATTTACCATTGGGGGAAAAAGAAATCCTCGTCTCAGCAGGTATCGGACTGAGGAACAAAATTCATCATCCATTAATGGCTAAAAAGCAAAAATCCTTAGTAAAGGTTAAAAATAGCTGGATACTTCTTAATGGTTAACACTTGAAAGTATTCCTATTAAAGGATAAGGCAAGCAATCCCATTATCAATTAACACTGGTACTGTTAAATGGTCTCTAAATGTGGGTCAGTACAGTAAGAGAAAAAGACAAAAATAGTATAAAGGAGTAAGTTTTTTTTTTTTTTTAGATATTGTTGTATGCCTTGCAGTGGGTGGGGGGGGGAGAAAACATGAAAATCAACGGAAATGTGCAAAACTTCAGGGAAGAAGCTGGTTACCGAATTAATATTCAAACAACAGCCTGGCGTTGGGGGTGGGGGGAACGTGTGCGTGAGGGCTGGAGCGTCCACGAGTGCGTGGGTGTGCACGTGAGCACGCACTTGCTGAGGCGCTGGGAAGCGCATGCGCCAGTGGCACCCAGAAGCCCCCGCGGTCTTCCGCGTTCTCGGCGTCCTCGCGTCCTCAACCGCTTTCGCGTCTTCCGCGTCTTTCGCCGCAACCATAGCTCTGTGGGGCTCGCCTTTTTCTTTCTCAGCCTTATCCGCAGCCTTCCAGTCGCCACCTGCTCTTCCAGGAGCCAAAACCGCTGCCGAGCCATGGCCTCAGAGGACTTTCTCAACATCCCCCCAGAAAATTCAGAGTTACTTAAAGATATTACGGAGCTGCGCCAGATCCACGTGGAAGCCGTGCCTGTGGAGACCGTGCCTGTGGAGACTATGTCGATGGAAACCATGACAGAGTACGAGATTATCAACGGCAGTTGGGTCCACGGAGGCCACCACCAACCGCCTCTCATCGCGCTGCAGCCGCTGTTTACCAGCAGCTCGAGCCAAGGAGACCACGACCAGGACATAATCATGGTGCAGACGCAGGAGGAAGTGGTGGGCTACTACGAGTCAGACGACCTGCAGGCCAGCAACAATTTCGAGGACCAGGTGGTCATCCCGCTCGGTGAAGACGACGATTTCCAGCAGACCCTGGCTTCCTTGGCAGCTTCAGCGTCGTCGTCAGCGGTCAGCCACAGCAGGAAGCGCAGCAGCCAAAGCAAGAAGTCGAGCGGTAAGAAGAATTACACTGATAGTGAGGCCCACGGGGGAAGTAGCAGCTCTGAGATTGGCAGCAAGAAGTGGGAGCAGAAGCAGGTGCAGATCAAAACCCTGGAGGATGAGTTCTCCATCACCCTGTGGCCCCCAGATGACCAAAGAGACCAGGAGACAGGGAAGATTGAGAAATCAGCTCCTGATTATTCAGAGTACCTGACAGGGAAGAAGCTTCCTCCTGAAGGACTACCTGGTATTGATCTCTCAGATCCTAAACAACTAGCAGAATTTACTAAAATGAAGCCAAAAAAAAAAGAAGATGCTCCAAGAACAGTAGCTTGTCCTCATAAAGGTTGCGAGAAGATGTTCAAGGATAACTCTGCTTTGCGAAAACATCTGCACACCCACGGTCCTAGAGTCCACGTATGTGCAGAATGTGGCAAAGCTTTTGTCGAGAGCTCCAAACTAAAACGACATCAGCTGGTGCACACTGGAGAGAAGCCCTTTCAGTGCACATTTGAAGGCTGCGGAAAACGCTTTTCCCTAGATTTCAATTTGCGTACACATGTGCGAATCCATACCGGAGACAGGCCCTACGTGTGCCCCTTTGTTGGTTGTAATAAAAAGTTTGCTCAGTCAACTAACCTGAGATCTCATATCTTAACGCATGCTAAAAACAAAAACAGCCAGTAAGAAGGGAAGACCCTTCTCAAAGTTGGGAAGTGTCTTCCAGGAGCATGATTGAAAATGAATATGCCACTTTTGTGTATTGTTTGTAGGAAATAATATTTTTATTGATTCCTGTATAAAGAAGGGTCTTGTTTTGATAGAGCAGTAAAAATAAAAGTAAAAAGTAAAATATATATATTTAATATATATATCTTTATATAACATTGTTAGGGTGCTATGTCTTGTTCTGTAATACTATTTGAAAAACATGGTGTTTTGTAACATTTGGTCCCAACAAGGATAATTTATGAACCTCACATCAAAAGATGGTTCTTTATACAACTCTTCTAAAAATGGGACTTCTTTTCACATTTTTTAAAATACGAGGTTCACCTATTGCTCACAAATTTTTAAAGTTGTGTATTTTCCAAATGTTCATATTTATAGTTTTAGGAATATGTTTAGTAATTCTTTGTATGGTTTTTCTGAAGGTTGATAACTTTGCTTGGAATAGATTTTCTTTAAAACAATGAACAGTAACCTAAATGAAGTATTTTCCTGTTTAAAAAAACTTATATAGGCTTTGTTTGCTATCTTAATTTTGGTTGTATTCTTTGATGTTAAAACATTTTTCATAACTATCTTTTAGCTGAATTGATTTATGTAGTATTGAATATTAGATGTGACTTAATAGTCAAATTCAATCTATTTTAGTCATTTTATTTCCCCAAAATACTGCAGGTGGTGTTCAGTATAACTTCTTTGCATGTTCAGTTAAGAGAGTGGTACTTAGTTGTAGAATGTATTTTGTATGTATTGACTTTTAACACTTGATAACACTTTTTAACATCTTGTGTAATAGAAGAAGCAAAAATAAAATAACCTGTTCCAAAGATGGAAAAAAAACTTGTCTGTGTAAATACCATAGCTAGAAAATAGAGAAAATGGGCAGGTTGTTAGTGGCATCAGGTGAATAGAAGCTAGGGATGCTGCTAAACATCCTACAATGCACAACAACATGTTCCCCACAACATAGAATTATTTGGCTCAAAATGCCAATAGTGCTGTTAAAAACTCCTGTTCTAGAAAAAGTAAAAGAACAAATATTCCTTTGGTATACTTATAAACAAATCATTAATGGACAACACGTTGTTTAAATAAAGGAAACGTGTTGTACCACCCTTCTTGCCACTTAGCCATCATGGGCAAATCTGGAATCCAGAGGGGTGATCTCATACCAGCTGCGTCCCTGACAAGTCCCTGACCAGAGATAAGAGACTGCTCAGAAAGTCAAGAAAGCACGCTGTTGTTTGGGTGGGAAAACAGCATGGTCTGTGCTATGACTGTGTGGTGGGATTATCCTGATAAGGGAGTGATGGTGAGAGTGCAAGCATCTAGGCAATCCTGGTAGAGCTGGGAGAAAGCTGAATTTAACATAAACATAACAGTGGCAAATGTAATAGGCTAGGGTTGTGGGGGGAGGGGTGGAAGATGGATAATTTTGTGAAATTGTGTTGGGACCAGCTACTTGGTGGGGCAGTGGGGAGGAGGGCGGTTATAGCTGTATCCCTAAGTTAGTTTCACTAGAGAGTAAATTCCACTAGGCAAAAACAAGTTTTTAATTTTGTTTTTTTTTTCAAATGAAGCTATGAAAGCAATACAAGAAAACCCTAGGTGAGTATCTTCTATAATTTTGAACTGGGAAAGGCTTAATGCAAAGGAGCAATTTGACCATACCAAAATGTAAAATGTCTGCATAGGCAGAACTATAAACCAAGCCAAAATACAAACTGGGGGAAAAAATTGTAATACTCTTACAAAGGACTAAATTTTTCAGTATATATATTCAATAATGATACATACAAATTAGTAAAAAAAAATGTAAATGCGATAGATAGAAATAGTTCTCAGACAACAGAAATACAAATAGCCTTTTAATAAACATGAAAGATGTACAAGCTTACTCAAATCACAACAGATTTTACTTTTCACCTAGCGGATGACAAAGTCTAACATATTCCTAGCATCTAGGGTTATTTACAGGGTAGGGAAACATGCCAGTTATGAGAATATCAATTAATGCAGACTCATTGGAGGTCAATTTTAATGCACATTGTTTTTGACCCAGCAATTCCATTTCTATGGAATTTTCCATACCCTCACAGATGCATACTTAATTAGATATATAACAATATGAACAAAGCTGTTTATTGTAGCATTGTATGAAAAAGTTAAAGCAGGCTATGTTATCATTAGTAGGGAACCTTATAAATAAGTCAATATGTTTTAAAAAATGAATTACTCTGTAATGGTTATAAGAACTGGGCATTCTGATAAACTAGTAAAATGATGTAAGAAAATTAGTAAAGTACTAGATGTAAGAAATGGGATAAATAGAATATGCAAATAAGGAAAAAGCCCAAAGTTCAAAAATGTAAAATCAAAATACAGTTTCCAATAGATAACTTTGATACAATTGGTGTGTTTAAAAGATCTCTCTCTGTATAGAACAGAAAAGATTGTTTACCCATAATGTCCTGGACTAGAGTTGCCCTGGATATTTCTGGAATTAAAACAACTTACAACACTCAAAAAAAAAAAAAAAAAGAAAAGAAAAGAAAAGAACATCTTAACAGTATGAATAAGGTACAAGAAACTTGTCTTGGGTATCTGCTGTAATTAAAAATAACAATGGCTTAAACTCTCATACAATATTCCAAATGTAAGTAGTTCAGCACTGAAATGTTAATTGTGTTATTTGGAGGACTCAGGCTCTTCTGTCTTGTTAGCTCACTATTCCCAACATGCAGCTTTTGTGTCATAGACTCAGGCTTGTCTCTATCTTAGCTACATTCCAGCCATAAGGACAATGATATCCCCATCACCTCCACTCATATCCTGTTAGTCAAAGCAGTCATATGGCCAAACTCAGATTCCTGCAAGTCTGGGAAATGTCTTTAGGTTACATTTCTATCACTATAAAACATTGGCTCTCAACCACTGGTGCTGTCACCCTCCTGTAGATGTTTGGAATGTGTGGGGGGCAGGGAGCATTCCTTGGTTGTCTCAGTCAAGGGAGAGTACTAATGGCATTCAGTGGGTGGGAGCCAGAAAGGCTAAATATCCTGGGGTGCGAGGGACAGACTTGCACAAATAAGAATTGCAAGGTTCAGAGTGCTAGTAGAGCCCCCACTCTGCCCCATGAGAAAAACTGGTACAAGAAGGAAAGGATCGGTAGGGGGGAGGAGGATATCTAGTGCTATGCTAGTGATTGTTTAACCCCTGGCTCTGGAAGGGAGAGTGAGGAGCTCTGATATGTAGCATTTGCTGGTTTCTGTGGTATAATTACTCCTGCCATGGCCAATTTTAAGGTACCAACCCAAAGTCCCTGAAGGAGGAATTAGGAAGAGATGTACACAGTCTGCTGTGGCAAGCTGGCAGGACCAGCCTCCAGCACACCACTGGGTTCACCTTAACCATTTCTGCATATATGATAGAGATGGTTATAGTCTGTGACATGGTGTAAGATACATACTCTAGTTCATCAATAATACTCTCCTTAATAGTTTAATTCTTAAAACAATCTCTTTTTCTGAGTACCATTTGGATTTCCTTTATATATATAAACATATATATGTGTGTGTGTGTTGAAATTTATTTTTTTCCATTTTATTTTATTTTATTAATATAATTTATTGTCAAATTGGTTTCCATAGAACACCCAGTGCTCATCCCAACAGGTGCCCTCCTCTATTCCCATCACCCACTTTCCCCTCTCCCCTACCCCCATCTACCCTTAGTTTGTTCTCAGTCCTTAAGAGTCTCTTATGGTTTGCCTCCCTCCCTCTCTGTAACTTTTTTTCCACTTCCCCTCCCCCATGGTCTTCTGTTAAGTTTCTCAAGACCCACATATGAGTGAAAACATATGGTATCTGTCTTTCTCTGCCTGGCGTATTTCACTTACTATAATACCCTCCAGTTCCATCCACGTTGCTGCAAATGGCCAGATTTCATTGTATCTCATTGCCAAGTAGTATTCCATTGTATATATAAACCACATCTTCTTTACCCATTCGTCCATAACCCAGCTCAGCAAGAATGTTTTTTATTTAGTCTTTACTTTTATTTGAATAGCTCTGAAATTTTTTTCAAAGATCACAAGTATGTTTTGATTAATAATGTATATGTTTTCTGAAAAGAGGATAAAGTGAGTAGAAATTCAATTTATGTTTTATATGTGTATTAGAATATAGATTTTCTTAATGTTAAGTCATATTAGTATGTCGTCTTCTTAATGTGGTATAAACATGCTCATTTTACATTTCACTATCTGAAATGGAAGGGGCCTCTAACTGAACATCTGTCTGCTGTACTAGTAAGTAGATCTGTCTGCTTCGCGGCTTCTTCTGGTTACTTCAGTAATTTATCAGAATGCCCAGGTGTTATGAAGTCCAGATACCTAGATCATTCCTGCCCTTGGTTGAGCTGACTTTTTTTTTTTCTCTTTTCAGGTATCTGGCATAATTTCGTCCTTGCACTCCTAGGTATTTTAGCTCTCGTGCTCCTCCCTGTAATTCTCTTGCCGTTTTACTACACTGGAGTTGGGGTGCTCATCACTGAAGTTGCTGAGGTAAATAATGAGGATTACTTGGGGCATCCTTTTACCAGATTGTGATGTAACACAGCATTTTATGATGTCAGGAACTTTTATTCAAGTTCTCATATACAGAATGCCCAGTTTTTCCTGAAGAAATTGCTGTCATCCTTTTAAATTGAACAGAAAGTTTTGTGGAAGACATTGGCTTTTTAAAAATACTTAAATTTGTTTCTGTTCTGAGTTACAAAGATAGTATCAAGGTTTTCTACCTGTAGTTTGTTGATAAAATGCATCATTTACCTTTACTGTTTATTTTTATAACTGTGCTTTTGAGACAAATGTCCTTACTCCTAAGTAAGAAGATTGAAACCTAGGCTAGCCAGCTGGAACATTTCATGGGAGTTAAGTAAATGTCTTCAACTCTGTATTTCACTCCCTTAAACAATAATTACTGCAATGGCATCAAGTCTTCTGTTCAGGCTTTCAGAAAAGGAAAATTACCTTTGTGAACAACTGATTCACATATTCATTGTGCTGTGGTATTGTCTGTATATTTGGGACTGTGTTTAGATAAGGACTTGTCTTACAATTTTATCCACCGAGGATATACAAGATAATGAAGGCATTCTGGTGACTACTTTCACAAAAAATTTTAATAAGCAGTTTGGGAAAAACTTTATCATTTTAATCTTCATAGTTGGCAAGTGGGGTTTCTTCAGTTGTGAAAAATTCAATTAGAGAAGTAGGAAAAGTAACTATAATTGTTAGGTTGATTTTGTTAATGTTCTAGGACTGTACATCTTGGATTCAAAGCTGGATTATTTTCTGCATTAGCCAAAATATTCCATTTAATTAAATCAGAGTCTTTAATTGTTTGGTCAGATAAATCATAGCTTGTCTTCATATATTATCTGATTTGGTTGTACCCTCTTCCCAAGGACTCACCTGCCATTGGACCCAGAGGCCTTTTTGTGGGAGACCTTGTCACCCATCTACAGGATTGTCCTGTTACTAATGTACAAGATTGGAATGAATGTCTAGATACCATCGCCTATGAGCCCCAAATTGGTTACTGTATTAGTGCATCAACTTTACAGCAGTTAAGCTTCCCAGTTAGAGGTGTGTATATTTCTTCAGTATAATATCATGTTTCAGGGGCGCCTGGGTGGCTCAGTCGGTTAAGTGTCCAACTCTTGGTTTCACTTCAGGTTATGGTCTCACAGTTTATGAGTCCAAGCTCCTCATAGGGCTGTCAGCACAGAGCCCGCTTGGGATCCTCTCTCTCCCTCTCTCTCTGCCCCTGCCCTGCTCGCTCACTCTCTCTCTCTCCCAAAATAAATAATAATATTTTAATAATATTTTTAAATAATAATAACATTAATAGTAATAATAATATCATGCTTCAAGCAGCAGTACTTGGCCATTCACCAATTCTTAGCCCATGTCTATAGATTTATTTTGTTCTAATTTTTTTAAATAAATCAGTAAAGTAATAATAGGCACAAACTAGTATCTTGGTAAGTTGGATACTAATATTTATATATTGTTCAATGTCTAATTTCATAATATCATATTTGACTTTCAAGACTCTAGTATCTAATTCTTTCCACATTCAGAAGAACTTGTGTTAAGTCAGCATTCAAGCTCAACCGTAACCAATTAACTAAATTCCAGTAATTAAATACTCCCATGCTATATGGATGGTGTCATATCCAAAGCTATTTGGGGTAGAGTTATTTTATGTGGCAGGCATCCAGAGGAAGTCATGTTGGTATCTGAAAATATCCTCTGAAGTCAGATCTGTTGTTCTGTGTAGCAAGCGACAAGGTGAAGCAAGTTTATTCTCAGATGCTCCCAAATTTATTTTGAGTTCTTTCAGCTCTGAAAAATCAGCCTCCCAACTCTTTATATAAAATCATGGGGCCCAGATTATTTTGAGTGTTTAAAAACAAAAATTATATTCACGGATTATATCTTTAGGTCAAGAAATGCCCTGGAATGCTTGTCCACATCTACTGGGGTTAGGAAATATGATAAATAATCAGGAATAACTTCACTGAAGTACTATGTACAACAGTGGCAGAGTACTAAGAATTGATTTAAAATTTTTTTTTCAAATAGAATCTTTCATATATTACCCATTTTTAAGAACTTTTATTACTGTAAAAACTTTTCAAACATACATAAAAGTCAAGAAAGTAGTAGAGGGGTGCCTGGCTGACTCAGTCAGAGGAACATGCTACTCTTGATCTCGGGGTTGTGAGTTCGAGCCCACACTGGATGTAGAGATTACTTAAATAAAACTTAGGAAAGAAAAGAAAAGTAGTATAAATGAAACCTTATACATCATTCTCCCAGCTTCCGTAATTATCAACATTTTTCCAGCTTTTACATCTAATTATCCCACTTTTGAGGGGAGTATTTTTAAGCACATCTCAGGCATCGTATCATTTCATCCATGAACTTTAGCATGTCTTTAGTACATGATGACTTTTTAAACATGACCACAGTACTATTATTCACACCTAACAAAATTAGCACTAATTCCTAATATCTAGTCAGTATTCACTTTTCTCTAACTACTTTTTTTTTAATTTTTAAAAAATATTTATTTATTTATTTATTTTGAGAGACAGGGGAGGGGCAGAGAGTGAGGAGAGAAGAATCCCAAGCAGGCTCTGCTCTATCAGTACAGAGCCCAACGTGGGGCTCAAATTCGCAAACCATGAGACCATGACCTGAGCTGAAATCAAGAGTTGGATCCTTAACTGACTGAGCCACTGAAGCGCCCCCTTACCTGCTTTTTTTAATAGTTGATTTCAAGTTGGATGGTATGTCTTTTAAGTGTCTTTGAGCTTGGAACAATTCCCCCTGGTGTTTTTTTCTTTTTTAGGTTTTTTTTTTTTTTTTGAGATCTCATTTTAGAAACTGTCACTTGTTTTGTTGAACTGCCCATATTCTGGATTTGTCTGGCTCTGTATTATGCTTATGATGTCATTAACATGTTCAGATAGCCTCCAGATTTTCTATAGATGGTCATTAGGTGTAGACACTTGATTAAATTCAGGATCCACTTTTTGAGGGGGTGAAAATACTTCATAGGTGGCGCTCACTACTTCCTATTGCATCATGTCAAGAGGCACCCAATGTCTAGTCTTCTCCCTTGTGGTAATGTTAACATTGTTCAGTGGGCTAACCTGATTCTTTAAGGTTGAAATATTTATACTTTTTACTATTCTCAAGAGCCACTTAGCATCTTCCCAAACATTTCAGATGATGGAAGGTTGGTATATGACCTGCAATGTGTTCTTCTCTGAGAGAAATGATCCATTATTTCACACTTCTTAGGTCCTTTATCATTTTCCTCCAATTTCTCTAAATTTGGTGTAATATGTATTGAATTACAAAAGCCAAACTGACCCAGTAATCAAAGTTCTCTCTAGTAGAATTGTTTTATTGTTTTATTTAGGACATCTGCATTTCAAATGTTTAAGGTTTTGCCCCTTTCCTGGCATACAAAATGAAAATGAAAATTTTCCTGGAAATACTCTGAAACTCTTTTCTTTCCTTTTTTTTTTTTAAATTTTTTTAAATGTTTTATTTATTTTTGAGACAGGGAGAGACAGAATATGAACAGGGGAGGGTCAGAGACAGGGAGACACAGAATCTGAAACAGGCTCCAGGCTCTGAGCTGTCAGCACAGAGCCCGACGTGGGGCTCAGACTCACGGACCGCGAGATCATGACCCGAGCCAAAGTCGGCCGCTTAACCGACTGAGCCACCCAGGCGCCCCTCCTTTTTTTTTTTTTAACATTTACTTATTATTTTTGAGAGAGAGAGACAGAGTGTAAACAGGGGGAGGGGCAGAGAGAGAGGGAGGCACAGAATCCAAACTAGTCTCTAGGCTCCAAGCTGTCAGCAAAGAGCCCAACACAGGGCTCAAACCCACAAAGCACGAGATCATGACCTGAGCCGAAGTCAGATCTTTAACCAACTGAGCCACCCCGGTGCCCTTCTGAAACTCTTTCGTTGTCAGCTTTTTGAGTATTTCACTGTTATGTATTTGGGAGGTATTTGTGTTAAAACATAAAGCAGATATTACTCTTTCTACTTAATAAAAAAAATCAATCCCAAAGTAATTCTTCAATATCTATTTCATCTCCTTAGGAGTGACTGTATTAGGATACATGTTGATTTTACATGATGACTGTTGACTATGTCTGATAAACCTGTACCTCTATTTAACCATTTTTAGATGGAGTGAATACATTTAGCCAGTTTATAGGAATCTTAATGACTGTAAATTTAAATTAAATTAAAATATATACTAAATTAATTTTAATGGCAGACTTGACCACTGAGGCTGTAGATATTTTAAAGAAAACTATGGATTATGGTGCCTGGATGGCTCAGTCGGTTAAGCGTCTGACTCTTCATTTCGGCTCATGTCATGATCTCACTGTTTGTGGGATCAAGCCCCACATCAGGCTCTGCACTGAAAGCATGGAGCCTATTTGAGATTCTCCCTCTCTCTCTGCCCTCCCTCCCTCTCTCTCTCTCTCTTCTCTCTCTCTCCAAATCAATAAATAAACTTTTTTAAGAAAAGAAAGCTATGGATTAATAGTATTTTATATGTATCTAGGTACAATTTTTTATCCTTAGTTATAAAGAGAGGGAAAAGATACAATTAAATATGGTAATACAAAGTGGGCAATAATCCGAAAGTGATTCATGTTCATTTTGGAGTGGACTTTAGTATACATAATTAAAATTCTAGAAATTTACACCACTGCAAAAACAATAAAGCCACCTTGGAAAAAAGATCTGACCCTGGAAGTGCATGTAAGCTGTCCCAACCAATTGTTTCTGGCCACTTACCTCTCATAGGTGTATTATCAAGTTGTTTAAGATATAATTAAGCAGACTGGATGTTCTCCTTAAGATATTAACAAGTAGATTTTTGTCAAATTAGATTTTTTAACGTTTTATTTTTTGAGAGACAGAGACAGAGTGTGAGTTGGGGGGGGACAGAGAGGGGGGAGACACAGAATCCGAAGCAGGCTCCAGGCTCTGAGCAATTTCTGTCAAATTAGAAAAAAATGTGGTTAATCTATGATATGAAATTGTTTAGACCTGCTTTTCTTCTGTTAATCCTTTCCTTTTTGATTTTTAAACATTAACTCACTAAACTACAAATGTCACCGACAGAGGTAAGGCTGGTTAAATTCCACCTCTTCCCCTGGTACATGGGGCCAGCCTAAGGAGCTTGTCCCATACACTCCTTGGAAATTGAATGGCCTTTCCAGGAAGCCCCAAAAAAGGACACTGGGTCAGGACTTGGAGCCCATTGCACCTGAAATAGATCTCTGATCTCATTCTGGGTCAGAACAGAAAACAAAACTTTACCCCCATTCATAGTCAAGCCTCTACTTTTACAATTGCTGGGTGTCCATATGCCACTTTGTGATTTGAGTGGAGTTGAAAGTTACAGAAAAGAACTAGTCTGGATCTTTATTTGGGACTATTTTCCTAACAAGTAGCTTGCATCCTCTTTCTTTAGTTTGAGAGGAATCCTTCATTTCATATACACATAAAGCTAAATTCCTTTTTTCTTTCCTGAAAGCATTATCTCAAATAAGAAAGACTGTACTCAACAAGTCCAGCATTTGAACTAGGTTCCCAGGAGCATGAGATTGAAAACTAAAAGCAACTGCTCCCTAAAAAGAAGCTTTGAGCTCAGACTCAGCCATCCCCATTGAACAGCCTGTATTCCTATTCAGAGGAGGCGAGGGTATATCCCTGTAACTGCCTGGCAACAGGAATATTGTATTCCTGTCTTATGTATCTATACATATGTATCTATAACTGAAGTGAGAAGAGACCCTTCCCTACCTAGTTTAAGATAATAAAAGGAAACTTCCAGGAATCCTTTCCATGTATTTTGAGTACTCAGATTGTTTTTATGCCTAATCTTCTCTACTGTTTGGGGAAAAGTATCTGTTTTTTCATTGTGAACATCAAGTTATGATCCAAAGTTTTTTTGCTATCCTAAATTGAAGAGAGAATGTGTGTATATGTGTGTGTGTTTATAATTTTTTTTAACTACTTATTAGGTGATGCTGGTATAAATTCTATAGAACTAAGAACAAATAAAGAGGAGGGGCGCCTGGGTGGCTCAGTTGGTTTAGCATCAGACTTTGGCTCAGGTCATGATCTCGTGGTTAGTGAGTTCAAGCCCCGCGTCGGGCTCTGTGCTGGCAGTTTGGAGCCTGGAGCCTGCTTCTGATTCTGTGTCTCCCTCTCTATCTGCCCCTCCCCAACTTGTGTTCTGTCTCTCTCTGTCTCTTAAAAATATTAAAAAAAATTTTTTTAAAAGAATAAATAAATAGGCTTGCCTCCCTGTGTTGGAGATCTAACTACATTTATATATTTAATAAGCTAGGATAAGAAAATTATTCAGTTCATTTTAGTAATAGAGAAAGTAGTGGGGACTGGGAACTATACATTGAAAAAGGTTCCAGTCTTTTTCTAAAACTAACCTCAGGGCGCCTAAGCGGCTCATTAGACGTCTGACTCTTGATTTTAGCTCAGGTCATGATCTTGTGATTCCTTAGATTGAGGCCCATGTCAGGCTCTGCACTGACAGCACAGTGCCTGCTTGGGATTCTCTGTCTTTCTCTCTCTCTCTGCCCCTCCCCTGCTTATGTGCACGTGCGCACTCTCTCCCTCTCTCACTCTCTCAAAATAAATAAACATTTTTTAAATAAATAAAAAAATGAAATTAACCTCTGGTGGGCGCCTGGCTGGCTCAACTGGAGCATGTGACTCTTGATCTCAGGGTTGTAAGTTCAAACCCCACATTGGGTGCAGAGATTACTTTTAAAAAATTAACCTCTGTTCTAGACTATGCTTTGGGGGCTAAACTATTTCTACAACTATCTTAGGACCCATCTTAGGGTTCATTCAGAATATGCAGGTTCTCCCTATGGTAGAATTATGAAACTGATCTGTTCTTGAATTACCTAATTGTCTCCCAGACTGAGATTTAAGGGAGAAGTCTAATCTTTCAGAGTTAAATTCAACCTACAAATGCCTCTGGGACCTTTCAATGCAATCTTGAGTGCTTCTTCGAAAGTAGAATTGGATTGGCCTGTCATGCTTAGTAAAAAAGTACATACGCTAATATGAGAATTGTCTGTGGCATCCCCATTTATAGGTTAAGAATCGAGTTACAGAAATTGACTTAGCAACTTGTCCTTTAATGTGACCCAGTAGAAAATATTCTAAAATAAAGTTTTTTTAAACATAGAACTTTTTTTTAATTGATAAACAGAGAAATATCAAATTTACCTCTCAAATGACCACAAAATATGTAACTCTTTATTGGAAAATTCTGTTTGTCGGGGGATATTTACACTTGTGAGGATGGCCACAGCCATGGATTTATGTTTTAGTTAGAGTAATCATCATAGGAAGAAGCCATAACATAAAGGTTGCAAATTGGTGGTAGCCCAGAGACCAAATCCAGCCTTGGCAAATGTATTTGGTCTGGCTTATGTGGTACTTTTTTATATTAATTAGATGCCAATATTTAAAATTGAAGAGGTTTCACATGAAAGTCCAGATTTCAGATTTCTCTTGGAATAAAATCAACAGTCCGTGGAATCAAGCCCCCAAATTGAGTGCCTGGCTGCTAATCCCATAAAGCAGGGTATACATTTTCTAATTCATCGCAGTCCCTCTACTCCCTGTTTTTTTCCCCACACACTATCTACTTCATTTATTTGAAACCTGCTTGGCCTGTTTTGGCATTTGTGTTTCCGTACATGCTGCATCAATAATGATATCAAATTCTTGACTTTAAATTCTGTATTGTATATATTCCTCCAAGAAAAGTTAGTGATCAAGTATCAGATGTAAATTTTCTAGATTTCTAATACAAAGGAAAGTGGCACAGAATGTCATATATGTATTCAATGTATACTGAGTTATCTACCTTATGTAAGATTGAGAAACTTTTTTCTCAAGGAGCTCACAGTCCAGTCAAAGACACAGAGCATTTGATAGGGATTAAGGAGTGTACCTGTGATGAGCACCAGGTGATGCATAGAAGTGTTGAATCATGATATTGTATACCTAAAAGTAATATTATACTATATGTTAACTAACTGGAATTTAAATTAAAAAAAAAGCAGACCATGCCCACGTTATTACAGTACAAGGTTAATTGCAGTAGAAGGTTAATTGTAGGTAATGACAGGAATTGGTGGGAATTGTAGGAGTTGGTGGTGGTCAGTCTTCACTGGGAAGATGAGAGCAGGTTTCATAGCATCACCCCTTGAGTTGGGCCTCAACAATGAGTCTAATTTCAGGAGGCCAAAATGGAAATAAACCTTGGCACCAGAACCTAGAAAGCAGTTAGGGAACTGCTAGTAATTTGGTTCAGCAAGATAATAGTATGAGATAAGATGAGAAAAAAAGCAGCAGTCTTTCAGTTTTAGGCTATGGAATTTAGACGTTATTTGGGAGTAGTGCAGTCCTTGGAAAGTTTTGATCAGAGGAGTTACATTCTCATTGTTTTACTCAGGAAGATGAATCTGAAGCATTTGGTATGTAGGAAAGGCTTGCGTATGCTAATAGGTGCTAAGCAAACAAGACTTCTTAGGATTCTTCAAATGGGTCAGGTGAGAAGTTAGAGCCTGCACTCAAATGCAAATATATAGGAGAAAAATAATGAGGAGGTAAAAATTGGTGGGACTTGGCAACTGATCAGAGACAACCCTGAAACTGTAGCCTGGATTGGTAAAAAAAAAAAAAAAAAAAAAAAAATCCTAAACAACTTTGTACTTTATACTTTACTATTAAGGGTGACCAATTATTGATTACAGGCACTGGTTTATCTGTACCATTTGCTACTCACAGTTTGCCTTCATATTTCAAATACAAATCCTCATTTAAAATTTAAATACCTATTCAATTATAAGAAAACAACAGAGAAAGAAAAAAGAAAACAAAACTGCCCACACAGCCAAGCAATGCAGAAGAGAAACTGATTTATCAGTTAGTTTGTTTCACCTGTTTTGTTCTTCATTTTATGTAGACCAAGGAGAGAGAGCCACAGTGGCTGGGGGGGATCCACTCTAACCAATACAAGATGTCTCCCTCAAATAACCTAGTTTAAAAAAAAAAACTGTTTGAAAACCAAACAACGACTGATGACTAAAATACAAAATCCTTGTACAATCATATTGCATATCAACTAACATTTTCCTGCCAGTGCTCTTGAAGACACACTTGTAATAGAAAAGCTTTTTGTGGTACTAGAAAACGTACTTTTTTTGGTAGTTCTCTGGTAACTTTGCTCTTCAATCTGTCTTCCTTAGCACATCTATGGTAGCATACATATAAGATTCTAAGTTTAATTGGTCCCTGCTACACATCAGTTTATGCTTTACAGGTTTGATATGCTGAGTGCAGGAAACCTTCCAAAATAAACACATGGAATCATTTCTATTCCACCTATATCAGTGATTTAGTTTTCTTATTCTGCCCCAGATACAAGTGAGGGAGTACACCAAAAACCTTTGAAAAATAAACGAATAATGAGAATAAACAGTTACCCTGTTTGCATTGTCTTCCAAAAGTGGTAACTGGACTATTGGTATGCAGGCAAATATGTGCACATCTCTGGGGTCAGATTGGGCTGCCCTGATTTTATGAGGAAAGCCGTAAGGTAAGCAAGGAGGCAGGATAGATATTTGATCTAATGGGGATGTCTTTAGGGATGAGAGTCTTTTAGGCATCCTCTTGCCCACTCTGCTGAACTCAAGTAGTACTGGATCAGTAGCATTAGGACAGCTAATAGTGGCTTATTAAATATTTGTGCTTGACTAGCTGGAGTTACTGCAAAACTTACTGAGACCCTGGAACTCTAGCTTTATTAATAGGTAAGTTTATAGGAAGACAGAAATCTACGGTAAGTGCTGCTTCTTGATTTCAAACTGGACAAGTCTTTTTGTAATATCGTGTCTCTTTTTGTAACATAAAATCACTGCAGTGAGTAGCCTGTCAGACTGAACTAGGAATCATACAATTGTTTCCAAATTCATATGCATTTTACTTACTCTTTTTGTCTTGAAAGCAAAATTTTCATTACAAATGTACTTCTATATAACAGATTCTAATTCACTATTTCTCTTTAGCATACAAACGGCTAGATGGTTCGACTGAATGTTGTAACAATCACAGCCTCACAGATGTGTGCTTTTCCTACAGAAATAACTTTAATAAGCGTTTGGTGAGTTGTCCCTGAAGCAATCTTGCTTGTCTGATATAATTTTTATAAAATAAGCATATAGAACTAAAATGTAATCTATGAACACTTTTCCCTTTTGTTTCATATTGTTTTATTAAAATTTCTATATTTCACTTGCCACATTTCATCTGAGAATCTTTAAAAATTTATAGGTATAATATCTTATTTGGCTGAAGTAGAATACTTGAATCTAATTTATAGTAGGTGCACATAAATGGCATTTCTTTTAAATGAACTTTGTTCCTAATATGCTCTGTAACATGAAAGATACTGAGCACTGGAACTTGCTGTTTTTCTTGTTAGTAAATTATTTTGGGTATTGACTAATTAATATTTTACTCATAGCATACATGCCTACCCGCCCGGAAAGCAGTTGAAGCCACACAAGTTTGTAGAACCAATAAAGATTGTAAAAAAAGTTCAAGTTCCAGTTTCTGTATAATACCTTCTTTGGAAACTCATACTCGCTTAATAAAAGTGAAACATCCTCCTCAAATTGATATGTTGTATGTAGGCCATCCACTGCATCTTCATTACACAGGTGGGTACTTATTATGGTAGACCCTCAGAAAATCATTAAGATGTCATATATTCTTCATGGTAGAAACTCAGTACAAATCCTTGGGTTAATTTTATTTATTATAAATTTGACTACTTTTTAAGTCTTAACTTGTTCTTCAGTATTGTATGAAATTTAGGCATTAGAAAAATAATCTGAATTTTATGAAGCAAGGTGTAACTGAATCCCATGTCTGCCTATGGAGAGTGACTTATTTTCTTCACTACCATTTATGTCCAAGTCACATAGATGATCTCTCAGATGTTCTCTGAGAGTTTGTTAAACCTACCCAAGTTCCCAAAACAGTGGCAAGAGCAACATACCCCAGAGAATGCCGGGAGTTATAGTGGTAAGACTATAATTTATGCATAACACATGAATTTTATATTAATATAATTTTCATGGTTTTTTATGTTTATTTTTTATTTTTGAGAGAGAGCAAGTTGGGGGGGGGGGGCAGAGAGAGAGGGAGACAGAGAATCCCAAGCAGGCTTCCCATTGTCAACATAGAGCCCCACATGGGGCCCAAACTCACAAACCATGAGATCATGACTGTAGCCATGATAAAGAGTAGGATGCCCAACCACCTGAGCCTCCCAGGTGCCCTAATGTTTATTTATTTTTGAGAGAGAGTGAGAGACAGAGAGGGAGAAAGAGAGAGAGAGAGAGAGAGAGAGAGAGAGAGAGAGAGTACACATGCAAGCTGGAGAGGGGCAGAGAGAGAAGGAGACATAGGATCCAAAGCAGGCTCCGTGCTGTCAGTGCAGAGCCCAATGTGGGGCTCAAACTCATGAACCATGAGATCATGACCTGAGCCAAAGTCATATGCTTAACTGACTGAGGTACCCAGGTGCCCTTGAATATAATTTTCAGAACTGGGCTGGCATAATTGTTTTAACAGAGGCTACATTATTGGGACTGAATAGATAGCTTCTTCATATTGCTGAAGATCATATAGTCTAATTTTGTTGTACAAGATTTTTTTTAAGTTCCTTTTTTTATAATGGTTTTGTGGAAATATAATTCACATGCCATATATTTGAGCCTTTTAAAGCATACAATTGAAGGTTTTTTAATATGTTCAGAGTTGTGCAACCATTACAGTCTAGTTCTAGAATATCTTCATCACCCCAAAAAGAAACAGTGTATTCACTATCAGTCACTTCTCATTTCTCCCCACCCCCAGTCCTTGGCAACCACTAATCTACTTTCTGTTTCTATAAGTTTGCCTAGTCTGCACATTTCATATAAGTAGGATATTTTGTGACTGACTTCTTTCACTTAGCGTAATGTCTCCAAGGTTCATCCATGTTGTAGCATGTCTCAGTAGGTCATTCCTTTTTATGGCAAAATAATATTCTGTTTAATGGACATATCACATTTTCTTTATTCATTCATCAGTTGATGGGCATGGGGGTTTTATATTACTCTTTAAAAGGCTGTCTCATTGTTTCATAGTCATAGCCTGTAACCTGGGTCATTCTTCTTCTTTATCAGTTTGACACTAAGTGACTCTAGAATGCAAATATTATTTTTTTTAATGTTTTATTTCTTTTTGAGAGAGAGAGAGACAGAGTAGGAGCAGGGTAGAGGCGGTCAGAGAGGGGACATAGAATCGGAAGCAGGTTCCAGGCTCTGAGCTGTTAGCACAGAGCCTGACGTGGGGCTCAAACCCCCGAAGTCAGACGCTCAACCGACTGAGCCACCCAGGCACCCCTAGAATGCAAATATTAAATATATCCTCAACAAATGGAAAGGAAGTTCCCTTTTAGAATAATTCAGAACTATGTACTATGTAATTCAGAAATATGTACTATATGTTCTACCTAATTGCAGAGAAGTTTGTAAATGTTTTGAGCAAAAACAGGATTACGGAATGCACAGAGTAGAAGAGACCAAAAATTTCCCCTAGTCATAATCCTTGTTTTAGTAATGATTTAGTAAGAGAAAACCAAGACTAGAAAGAAGTTAAGTGGCATAATAGTTAGAGTAAATGTGATTTTCAGGTTATGCCTCTTTGAAGGATAAGGACTCTTCATAAATTCTGCCATAGTTTTTAAGTCAGTCTCTTTATTTGGTAGTCATGCTTGGTATATAGTCAGTTTTATATTATTCTTACCTCCAAATATAAGTACATACTGAGATATGAATTTCTGTATTCCACTATATTTATTAGATGTTCTAGAATAATTGTTTTTATATGTGGGGCATATAGGCTGCCTGCTTATGTTTGGGAAGAGCTTTCTCAACCAGTTTAATAGACTAGCCCAATTGTTGACCACATGGAAAAATTTATAATGCTGTTGCTTCTCTATATGAACAATATTCATTATTCCTTGTTTTTCTTTTTCAGTGAGCATCACCAGTTTTATCCCACGCTTCAACTTTCTAAGCATAGATCTGCCTGTGGTTGTGGAGACATTTGTCAAGTATCCTTTCTGGTGTAAAGAATGTTTTTAAAAGGTGTTACTTGGAACGTGATTAGGCTTACCTTGAATAGAGCATGCATAGACCTTACAAGTGTCCATTGATTGCTAACAACTGAAAAAGAGACTTTAAAGTTGAAAAAGATCAGATTGTATATAGGAAGGAAGAAGTCAGAGGAAAGAGATTGCTCAGGGAAGGAGAAAAGTTAAGATATGGAAGGGAGGGAACCCAGAATATAATTTGAGAGTTGAATTTACAGATCTAAGACCTTTTTTAGTAAGTTTATAAAGAATGAAAGCTCAAAATGCCAGTGAGGTGATGAACTCTGCCCCTTGTGAACCTGTTACCTTGGACTAAGTGGAAGAATGCATAAGGGAGATCAAACTGGTTTCCACTACTAAAATAGCAATTCAGAGGACAAAATCTCACGTGTTCTTTAGCATATTATGTTGGAATATAAAATTTGACATTTTCTAAAATTTGTTATTATGAAGAATTTGAACACTTTGGAAGGGTTCTTTATTTTTGTCATTGTTTTTTCTTTTTTACCTTCTAGATTTTATTACTAAAAATGGATTTTTTTTAATTCCAGTATAGTAAACTTACGATATTATATCAGTTTCAGGTGCACAATACATATTTTTGTCACTTTTAAATCATTTTCATTTCCTTCCTCAATGATTTGCGAAAACATGAAAGGGAAAACAAATGAACAGTTAGTAAAAAATATGTACAATCAAGATAGTACCTTGTAGATTGCAGCTTTGTTTCAGAGATTTATGACATATATAAGCTTTTAGATGGCAGTAAAATAGTTATATTTGTGTTACAGTTAATATTTATACTACTTATAGTGTACATTAGTTATAGATAATAGTAAAATAGAGTTGAAGGGGCCAAAATCCTTATGTTCCCTAAGATAAGGTAATACTTTGTAGGGATCAAAAAGTAATTTTCCTTTATTGCTAATTACTTCCACATTCCTTTCTCTTGTTGTGTCATTAAAGTATTACAAAGACTCAGTCTTCCTTGGAGTTTGTTATAGATTGTCTTAGTTTACAAATGGTTGGCCCTTATTTTTCTAGCCAAGATTTTTGACCTTTGAAATAATATGAATAATTTATTTTAAATGGTAGAGATCTAGGAAGGAATGTCCTATACTTGTGGGCAGAGATTTAAAGAAAGCAGCTATAATCTCAAATCCAGCCCTAGTAAAACATTCTCTTCTGACTACCAGAAATGTGGTTTCTTCTCAGACCTCACAGTCGGATCCTTAACTGATTTTACCCAGGTACCTGATTTCCCTCTCAGGAGCTCTGGCTATTGTTAATGCAGTGCCCTGCTTTGCTTTGGATGGTCAGTGGATTTTAAACTCTTTCCTAGATGCCACCCTTACCTCAGTGATTGGAGACAATGATGTCAAAGATCTGATAGGATTTTTCATCTTGCTTGGTGGCAGTGTACTTTTGGCTGCCAACGTGACCCTGGGACTCTGGATGGTTACAGCACGGTAATATTTGCATTCATCTGGCAGAATGATCCTTGGTATGAAATATAAAGTGTTTCCTTAAAATTACATTTTAACTAACAACTTTAAGCTCCTCATGTATCAGAATATCCAAACTCTGGGATGGAGGATAAACAGAAGAAATGAAAGGCATAGTCTCTGACTACATTCTGATTTTAAAGATTGAACTTAACAAATTTCAGATGCTTGTGGAACAATTTCTAAACAAGTGAAAATTCATGTTAAACCATTTTGTGCAACTCCGGATCATGTTGCAGTAGTGTAAAGGAGAACAGAATTAGGTGGAATTAATTGGGGCAAACTTTTTGAAAAAACATCATGAATCCAGATTTGAAGAAGACCAGAATCTGGCCAAGTGGAAGGGTGAGCATTTTCTTGGCCTGTATCTCTTGTCCTTTGTCTTGTTTGAAAAGAATTTTAAGATTTAATGGTGTATTATTTTGTACTCTGACAACTGAGGTCTGATTGCAGTTAATAAAATTCTATAAAAGTATCTGCTGACATGAAAGGAGAAATTTTTGTCAAATGATGCCAAATAAGTGAAAAAAGTAGGAAGTAGGGCCTACAATACCATGATGCATGTTTTGCCCCACAGGAATTGTCTCTTTGATGTGTCCCCATGCCCTCATAAAGCAGCACTAGCCTTAACATTTAGAGTGAACTGAAAGAGGTGTCTTTCACTTGCAGCCTGTGAGCTGAGGAAGTTAAAGTTGAACCTCAGAACTGAGCCTGGTCTTCTAACAGATCACAAGACAGATCTGCTACAGTCCTGGTTACCATTCTCTACAAAGCTTTGAAGCTTGAAACCCTTCCAGGGTAGACATTTTCTCTTGTGCTGCTGGGGTTATCTGGGGCCTAGGTCCTGGGTTCCTGTCTTCAAGAAGCACCTACCTTAAGCTCTCAACCATACTTTGTCCTCACCAGCAGCTTCCATGTTTCTCTATATTAAGTAATTAAATGCCCAGGCCTTGCTTTCCATCTTTCCTCTAAGCTACCTCTATGGGTCCACGGAAGACTTGGTAGTACAGTGAGAATGGCTACACGGGAGTACAGATGTGGACTTGCCAGAGGCTGGGAACTGACTCTTGAGCCCAAAAGTGCCCTGAGTAGTTCAAGGTCTTTTGCACTGGAGATGCAGCCCTGGAAGATCCAGAAAGTCAACAGGCCACTGTGAAGCTATTGGTCTTCTAAGTGTATGAGCATGCAATTCTTTGATGAAAAATAAGTGCTTCTCTCATGCACTCAAGAACATTAACACCCATGTACCCAACTTCTTCACTAAGTGAGATATTCCATGGTGTTCACCTTTTTCCCATCATTGAGTTGCTCTTCAGGCCCTAAAACTTTTTAATCATTTTTAAGAAACTCTTTAGACTGTATTACAAGTTTGCCTGCCTTCTTAAATAGAAATTATATATGGAGTATGTTAAGATGTTATTAATGATTTGAGGTCATCAGTTATTACCGCTATTAAAACCGTACACATTATTCGTTTATCCCAGAAAAAAAAACTTTTGTTGTGTTCTTCGGTAGATAGTCCTTTGGGATCAAAGACTGTTAGCAGAGTGAGCTCAGACCTGTTTAGGTAGTAGAGCCTGGGAAATGCCATGAAATACTTGTATAATTAATTTGATTACATAAACTAAGCAATTTACTAATCAACATGTTGTATATGTGCAGGTCAGTTTTTTGAAACTGAGAAAAAAATCTTAATAGAGGAAATCCTACCCCTTAACTTCTTTCTCTGGGGAAAAAAAAAAACTAATTTTCTTGTAGAATTTGAACATCGTGGTCTGTTGCTCTCTAGGGTCAGGATTTGGGAACCACCCTTATTAGGATATTGAGCAGATCCATCGCATTTGTATAGAAATGACCTTATCATGCAAGAAAAGAAATGTTATCTGTGTCCAGCTTGACTGTGGGCACTTCTGGAGTAAGGACCATGTCATACTCATCTTTGCATCCCTGGGACAGTGCATGAGACATCATAAATACTTAATAAATGTGGTTGAATGGATGATGAATAGTGTTATTTATGGATTAGAAAAGCATGTTTCTATTTAAGCTACAAATAGTATTATTGAATACTGTATATATATGTTAACATAAAAAATAACTTGGAAGGTCTTTGTGTCCTATAAAGATATTATCATCTTTATGAAAATAATCCATTTTCATTTCTGTACAGCAATTAGAAAAATGAATTATTTTAAGGATTTGAAGAAAATGTTCTTTCTGTGTTGTCACGTTGTTCAACAGTAAAACTTTATTTTCAGTGTTCCTACTCTACATTGTTTACATTTTCAAGAGGTTTTTTTTAATCCCCTATAATCTGTATAGAAGGTATATATTTTTTCATCTCAGTTTGAAAAGACATGCAGTTAAACTTGACATTTTGATAATCGCCCTTATAGGTCATGGTCATCTATTCTAACAGCAAATTTCAAACAAGCACTTCATGGATACATGGCTCTCAGTCATCAGTTTGTCCTATGGTATTTATTGAACATCCACATACTAATTAATGGTGCACAGGTATTTTTTCCTACAGATCTTGCGACTGTGCTGTAATTCATTCTTAGTATTTAACTTGAAGATACCATGGTTCCTGGCATTTGATGTTTAGCAATAAAAGAATAAATGTGTACCAGCATTGTATGTTTTACCATCATCTATGTGTTGTCTTTTTTCAAAAACTTCTATTCTTTTCTGTCAAAATTGTTCCCTTTACATTACAGTATGATCTTTGTTGTTCTTAAATTCTTGATTCTAAAAGCAGCCTTCAGTTTTCACTCAAGCAACCTGTATATGAAAGTTGTTGCAGGCCACAGAAAGAAGGCTTTTTTTTTTTTACATTTATTTATTTTTGAGAGACAGAGCACAAGTGGGGAGGGGCAGAGAGAGAAGGAGACAGAATCTGAGGCAGGCTCCAGGCTCCGAGCTGTCAGCACAGAGCGCGACACAGGGCTTGAACTCACAAACCGTGCGTGAGATCTTGACCTGAGCCGAAGTTGGACGCTCAACCAACTGAGCCACTCAGGCACCCCAAGAAGGCTTTTTTAAATGAGATTCCTGTGCTCTCTCTATTGTTTTGGAAATGGCCTGTTTATGGGTGAAGAAAGAGGACTATCATGTTTCCTTTCAATAGTGTCTGACAGAAGTCTTCTCTAAGTGTATGTTTCTTAGGAATTCGTGGAAAAGTATTTCAACTCTGACATTTGATTGATCTTGACCTTTTGCTCTAGTACTTCCTCCCTTGTCCACAGAGCCAGGCTCTCCCACCCCCTTTCTCTCTCTCTCTCCCTGTCTCCCCTTTCCCTCTTTCCCTCCTCTCTCTCTCTCTCTCTCTCTCTAACTGCCCCCTCACACACATGCACATGTTCTCTTTCGAGATTACTTAAAGGCCAAATACAATAGGATGGAAATTTAGCCCAACTCTTGATTGGCTAGCCTCATTCCACTCCTTTTTGCCTCTGATTTCATTCTATTATAATTAAGAGCCACAAGACTAGATGACTGATTATCTAAACCACTTTTTTTAGCAGCTTGAGATACAATTAAATACCATAAAATTCACCTGTTTAATGTGTACAATTCACTGTAAACTATTTTTCTTTTAATGACTACTCAAACAATAGTATACATATGCTTTAGTGTAATCTAACATTTTAAGCAAATGAACATGTGATACAAGACTGAGAAGAAAGAAAATGTTTCATTTATTTCACAGCTTTTTGAACTCTGAAGTGGTTTTCAGTACTGGAAGTAAAGTTGAGTCACAAATTATTTTTAAGGTAAAGCATGTAGAGGGGTACCTGGCTGGCTTAGTCGGTGGAGGATGTAACTCTTGATCTCGGGGTTGTGGGTCATGAGGTCAAGCCCCACGTTGGGTGCAGAGATTACTTAAAAATAAAAACTTTAAAAAAAAAAAGGTAAAGCATGTGGATATATTTTCTTTGAGACAATAAGCCATTTTAATCAGTGTTTTTGCAAGCTACTTTTGCTGTTTAGGCCATAATAATTTGAATAATCCATTGTATATTTTATCAGGCTATGGCAAATGAATTCAATGAAAGGAAAGCCTCTATTTCAAAACCTAATGCCACAATAGATTGTACTCAGGGTGGAGGTAGGAAAAAAATGGCTAAAGGAAGTTGCAATTCTAATTACCAAGCAGGTTATATTGTCTAATTTAGTTTTCCATTGAAAAGAGAGAAAAACATCCTTATATCATAGTTTTATTTAGCTAAAGATTGATGGATATTCAATAGTTGTCCATTCTTATTAACTGACCATTTCTCACAGCTTTCTACTGACATGCTCCTGACACCTGAGAGGAGGGAGAACACAGAAAGGTCTAAGAGCAGAACCCTGTAACTGTCTATCCTACAAAATTGAAGTCTTGCTTTATCTTACGTTTATGTAAATTTTACACTCCATTCATCAGTATCATAAAGCCAGTTCTCTTAAAGACGTGAAGCTCTAAACTGCAAAATAATTAGATGCTAAGAATATTAAGTTTTTTTCATGTCTAAAACACATTGGTAGAAAGTAGTTTATAATAGCTGGTCTGTAGACTAGTGACAGTCTATGATGGTGTTTTTATCTGTTTGTAGTGAAAGGAGAAAAATTATGTTGTATCTAATCACAAAATAAGGAAAATGTTCTTGTGTTGTTAGAAAGTGCCTGCTGCCCTTTATCAAAGAGCTTTCCTTTATTCAGATTATGGAAACACATACTTAAGTTCACTTAGCACTTCTAGATTGCTCTGCAGAATGTCTCTCTAGAACTGACATTCATCAGCAGGGCATGAGGATTCCATGTTTCCCCATGCCCTTTCCTCCACCTGAATTGTCTGACTTTCATGTTCTCACAAATGTGTTGGGTGCAAAATGGCATTTCCTTTTAATTTGCATTTCTCATATTAATAAAGTTGCACATCCATATACTTGTTTAGCCATTTAGGTTTTTCATTTTGCCAATTGC